AACCTGTATTTTCCAGCCAGGCAACCAAAATAATGCATTTCAGACTTTGCTTTATTGAGCAGTGAGGAAATCACAAATAATCTAGAAGTCAAAAATGCTGTTGGGTAGAATGCAGGCTGCCCCAGTTTGCATTAACAGAGAGCAGTACAGATCTATTAACGTATTTCTGCTGCAGAAGTGAAAACTTCTGAAATCCTAAGGGAACCAATTACTTAAGTCAGGCAGGGGACTTACAGACTTGGTAATTGTTGGGGCTCAAAAACTGCTAAAAACTGCCCAAGTACCTCATGTAGGGGAACAACCCAGTTCTAAAGGGACTAATTACAACCTTGGCAGCACGCAGGACAACAGAGTTTGCCATGAGTGGAGACCATAAGCCTTCATTTTCTAACTCTCAGTGTGCAGGTGTTTTATCAGAAACACAAACTAAAAACTACCTATACTCAAGGAACCTTGAATTAACTGACTGTATTAATGAAGGCTACTGTGACACATTTTCTTTGTAAATGAAAGCAACAGCACAGCACAGCACACAGGTTTATCACTTTAAGACTAGCATGGTATCTTTAGTCAGCCCTCACACAAAGCAGGGCTGATGCTGTTTCATTTTTGCACGACTTGTACTGGCACACAAAAACTGGGATTATATGGGAGGTTCAGCTCCTCCATCCCCTCAGCACACATGGAAATAACGTAAAACAGCAGCAGAGGAGAGATTACAGGTACTGTGCTCCACATCAGTGATTTATTTACCCAAACTAGTGGCACGTTTGAGTCAGGATTTGGAGGCATCTTATACCTAGGAGCCCCCAGGACCTTTCTGCTCCTGTATGCCATGCCTGTGATCCATCAGGGTAACAACAATGTGAAAAGAGACGATTACAGTTTTAGAACACTTCACAAGAGGAGAAAGTATCTAACATTTAATCCAAAAATAATTGCTTTAAGTTTGAGCACCTGTACTCAAAAGTAAGTTTGAAAGCTACAAGAGAAGTGGTGGCAATCAGAAAGGAGACCTTGTTTGCCCCTCCCACAGGCTGAACCTTCAGAGGCGATGTGTGCTTTTCCCAAACACATCAGGTGTTTGAAATAGATTTGTAGAAAATTTCTGAAGTTTGACAGAAGGTTCATATGTACTTGTATATAAACTTTAAGATAAGAAATGTTGACTTAGAAATGTTATAGAATAAGATATTGTTGAGAGAGAAGTGGAGGTAACAAAGTTTTAAAAGAAGGATTTATAAATAAAACTAGGTATCTTAGAGAAATAGAATTATGAAATCTGACAGTCAGGGACTCTAGAGTAAGGGGGATCAGTGTTCAGCACTTTAGACTCACCCCTGCAGACAGAAATGTGGTACCCAGGAGCTGTTCTGCTATGAGCAGAGTGTTACCACTCCCACATACTTCTGCTGAGGGTGTTTGATGAGAAACTGGCATCCACACAGATCGGAATGGCAAGAAAAGAATTCAAAGCTTGATGAACTGTTCAGTTCAAGCCACATTAAATGCACTGTGCAGCAGGAAGGTGTCTGAGTGGGGGGGAAAAGCAAACTAGAAAAGTTCACAAGTACCAACAGAAAGCCATCGTTACCTTCCAAACACCTGGAAATCTGCAGCAGGCTCAGTTTTGATAACTACAGAATATTGCCAATACTTTTTTTCCAGTCAAGAGTTGTGCCCACGTCACCCCCTGAGCCCAAAGCCTCATGAAACCTTTAGGGCAATGCCCAAGCCCCTGCTCAGACCTGCTGCTACAGAGAACCTGGGAACAGCAGCTCTTTAGAACTGCTGAGCCTGGAAGAAAAGCCACAGAAAATCCTCACTGAAGTTAAACATTCTGCAGCTGGATTATGGTGACAGGATATCCACTGCTATAAACTGTCCCAGGTTATTATTCTGGGCAGGAAAAAAAGTTCAGCCCAATCCCTGCTCTGAAATGTGATTTTTCCCACCCTCTGATTTTATACATTAGGACAGTTAAGTGTATAATTTAATGACAATGCACTGCAATTGGAAGGGGTTCTCAGTACACACCAGCTGTCAAAAGCACTTCAGGAGTTTCACAAAACACACAGCCCAAAGCCTTGGGGTTTAACATTTTATTTAGAGACATCCAGCACGGGTTGCAGCTATCATATCCCCATTGAACAATGCTGTGCAGAAGACTTCAACTCTGCAAGAAAAAGAAATTAAAGAAATTTAAGAGCCCTGTCATAAACTGTCATAATCATATGATTAGAACTTTTGATTTATTTGAGGACTTCGCTTCATCCACTGCCTGGTTTTGCATCAGAGACCTCGACTTGCATGAAACCACACAGTTCTAAATGCACAGCTTGAATACAAACCTGCTGATTTTGGTTTTCTCCTCAATCAAGGCTGGAATAAACATCAAACTCAAAGGAACTACGTAATTTGTTCCAATTATGAGATTCCAATGACGACTGTTATTTCCTTTCAAGAACTATATGGATCACTGAAGCTCCTAAAAAATGTTTAGTTTCTCAGATTACAGACAACACCACTTGCTTCCAAAGACCACCTTAAGCAAAATAAAGTGGGCTTTCAACTGGAACTGGCATGGTTGCACAGTCTGAGTCATGTCTGAGGCTTTCTTTGTAAGGATCATCAGCAAGCAATTTCTGTTAATGACTTTACCTTAACTGGACAGTAACCTGTGAATGATGCAGATGGTGAGATTGTTTTGATACAGGCTCAAGAAAATGTAATTTTCCTCTGAAATCTGTCAGCACCCTTCACCTTTGCCAAAAAAGGTACTTCCAGTATATGTGGTCTACATCTGTTTTCTTACATGGATTATTTTAAAGACAATTTTTTCTGGCACATCAGAAAGCGTTTACAGCATCACAGTTTCTCATCCTGTTCTGTCACATCACACGTGCCAGTGACTCCCACAGCAGCTACAGCTTTTTAGCTCCTCTGGGGGGAAGCAGACATGGCTTTAGTCACAGCCAGCAGCTGCAGGCAGAGAGGAGCGGCCTCTGGGGAGGCAAAGGTCACAAACCACCGAGTGCAGCAGCTCTGCGACACAAACTTCCACTGTTTCAGCTATCCCCGTGCAACTGCAAACCACAACACTTCAGCAAAAGGCTGAGAACTCTGAAACTCTGACCAGGTCAGGCTCATTGAGTTCCCCTGTGCTATGAAATCCAAGGAAAGCAGTTACCCAGCTGGCGCAGCTGCAGCCTGTCCTCTTCACTTCTTCAGGAGCTGGTGTCTGACTATGAAGAAAGGGGCACCAAATCCACTCCCGAAGAACACACACATCATCGCCAGCAGCCGCCACTTGTTGTCCACAGAGAACGGGAGGTTCTAAGGAAAATAAAAGGGATTTTTGCCTTTGCAGTCAAAGCAATAATTCCCTTCTAACCCATTTAGAAATGCTAAGAATCTCAGAGCAAAACAAATAGGCAGTTTCAGAGCATTTTCAATGTTCCACAATGAAAGAAACAAAGTATTTATGGTAATAAATACAATTCCAATACTGAAGGGTACCTACAGGGAAATTGGACATGGATTCTCCATGAAGAATCACAGTGACAGGACAGGAGAGAACAGATTCTAGCTGAAAGAGATTTTTAGCTGGGTACCAGAAAGAAATTCTTCCCTGTGAGGGTGGGCAGCCCTGGCACAGGTGCCCAGAGCAGCTGTGGCTGCCCCTGGATCCCTGGCACTGCCCCAGGCCAGGCTGGACAGGGCTTGGAGCACCCTGGGATGGTGGGATGTGCCCCTGACCATGGCAGGGGGTTGAATAAAATTATCTTTAAGGCCCTTTCTCACCCAAACACTCCATGATTACAGCCTGCATGTGACCTCTGGAGGTTACTTCGTCCCCTCTTCTCCTCTCCGTCCAGCCCAAAGTGGGACCAGTCTGCTGCAGGTCTCATGCAGGCAAATGTAAAAGCCCCTGAGGATATATATCTACATCCCCCGGAGTGTTCTGGTATTTCATTATATTCACCGTGAAGAATTTCCTTGTATCAGTTACGTGAGTAAAATTAAGCTTTTAGACCGAAGGCTTGAGAGAACCGGCCAGGTACATCAGAAAGCGTTTACAGTATCATTGTTACCCCTCATACCGCAATGCTCATCATCTGTACCACCGCAGGGAAGGGCGCTGGGGACCGCCACCACACGATCTGCACTGCTCAGGCTGTACCGGCATCACCCCAAAGCCCACAGTCAGGCACAGGGCAGCCATCAACCCCCACCCCGCCACCCCCTTCCCCGCGACCTTCAGCGGGCCAGGACGCTGCTACCCACCTTCCCGGGTCCCTCCTCATAGTGGCTGCGGCGGATGGCGGAGGTGGCGAAGCGGCGGACACCGGCGGACAGCATGATAGGGACAGGAGACAGCGGCCACTCGTCCGCCCTGCGCGACCTTCCCCGGGGTGCCGCGGCTGTGGGGAGCCGGAACCGGAACCGGGAAAGAGGAAGAGAGCACCGAGGGCATGACGGGAGTTGTAGTTCCTGGCGGTCACGTGGAGCCAAACGGCGGCCTGCGGTTGGTCGAGCCCCGCGCGCGCTCCCCGCCGGGCCCCGCCGCCATTTTGTGGCGGCTGAGGGGCGGCGGGAAATGGCGGGCGCGGGGCTGAGGGGCTCTGAGGGTGAACTGCGGCTCGCGAGCTGTAGTGGGCCACTTTTATTGTAGAGCTCATGGATCCCCCTGAATAGGCGAAAAATACAGTAACAGAGTGGTTTGTGTTGGGAAGGACACTAAAGTTCATCCGGTTCAACGCTCTCCGCCCCATACGGGCAGGGACACCTCCCACTGTCCCAGCTGCTCCAGCCCCAGTGTCCAGCCTGGCCCTGGGCACTGCCAGGGATCCAGGGGCAGCCCCAGCTGCTCTGGGCACCTGTGCCAGGGCTGCCCACCCTGCCAGGGAACAATTCCTAATTCCCAATATACAATCCATCTCTGCCCTGTTGCAGTCTGCATCCATTCCCCCATGTCCTGTCACTCCATGCTCTTTTTTTTTTTTTTTTCTTTTTTTTTAAATAGGGTTACTCTATCATGAGGGATGGTGGTGATTTGTACATGACTTACTTATACGGTATCACTACCTCCAGTGACTATATTGGCCTATTTAAAGAAATCTTGGCAATGTGGAGGGAAAGAAGGACCGCCAGTGTCGGAATCTGTGGGTATTGGTGATTCCCAGATTGTAGAAAGTCTCTGTCTTTCAGCCCCGCTGCCAAAGAAGAAGTCATAATTCATCTGTGCTGGTTTCAAGGTTGTTTATTCTGTTTATCTCTAACATGTTCTGCTGCCCTGCCGCAGCTCTGTCCTGCAGGGCAGCGTGTGGGGCTCTGCCCTCAGTGGGATGTTACAAACATTAAATACCACAAACTACCTGTGCTGGATTTACAATAACGTGCCAATATCTGTCACCTACGTTGGACAGTGTGTCCCCAGCCTAAACCAACAGAAAAATGCCAACACCACAGTGAAACATGGAGGGCATGAAGAAGGAGAAAAAGGACAAGACACTCCCAATTTCCTCCATCTTGTGCCCTTTGCACCCCTAATCTAGAAACCTAAAATTTTACTTTTGCACCCGTGCCACACTTAATTATTACTCATATCAAACACTCAGAGCTGGTAATTCATGCTGTAAGATTGAAAACTCTTTTCCATGGACAGAAATCACAGAAATTCTGGATTCCCACACGCCAGCACCCTTCACATTTGCCAAAGGAGTAACAAAGTTACTTCCAGTATTGGTGGCCTCCATCTGCTTTCTTACATGGATTGTTTTAAAGACAAACTTTTCAGGAAAAGAAGTTTGATGCTGCCATCTCATTTGCAAGGAAGTATTTATTTTTTTTTAATAGCCTTTGTGCATATTTATGTACTGACAAAGGATGGGAAACCAGGATTTTTATGCTCACCAAAGTAATGCCTTAATTAGAAAAGGTTAAAATCAGCTTGAGAAGCGGGGCTTAATTACATTAGTTGGTGGTCCTTGACCACTAACAACTCATATAGAACCCTAGAACACATTTTGTCGTTACTTTTGGATCTACTTGTGGTTTGTGTAGCTAGCTGTTTTTAATTTTTTCCCCTGTGTTTAGATAGACTTTTATTTTTATTTGTCAGAGTTTGCAATACTTTTTTCCTCTCCATTTTCTAATTCTGAGGTCTATTGAGAGATGCTTTCCTATTGTTAAATTCCATTGCTGCTTAGGCAGCCAGGCCTCTTCTCCCTCCTACTCCCCCTTTCTCAATCATTTTCTAATTGGAATTTATGGCACGATAGTGCTCTGCAATCTGCTTTATCATCTTTATAACAAATGTTCTTGTTTTAATGTTGCTCTTCTCCTCCCGCAGCGGATTTTATAGTGTTACTGCAGAAGAGATGCTGAACGGAGACATAAAGATTCCTGTTACACAGTTGCATGAGTTTAATCCTTGATGCTCTGCAGATGTTTTCTTTGTAGGCAGAAGTGGGGATCTCCAGGTAAATATGATTAGAGAGTGGTAGATATCTAGGGTTGTTTTACAGCTGGAGAAATAGAGCTGAACACTCAAATCTGTTTTCCTTTAAAGCATAAACTGATACAAAGTAAGCCCCAGAAGGCCGTGGGGAGGAGTTTGGAGTAACAGACTCCGGTGGCATTGATTGGAATTTTGGCAAAGGATTGAAAGATAGTATCTTCTAAAGTGTTACAAATACGATGTACCTTAATTATGATGAGGAAAATCAGGCATCAGGGCAGATTTTTAGAGCAGATGCCAGGTGCTCCACTGTATGCCTTTATAAAAAGGCAGTCTGACTCACAAACTGTGGGAATTACAGAATTAATTACTGGGGGGAAATTCCCTGGCTTGCGCCATGCATGGGATCAGAATGGGTGATTATACTGGTACCACCCAGCTTTTGAATCTATGAATCTTTGAATTTAGGCTGCTTGTTCACATTCATATTTTTAGGTCTACCATTTTTTTTTCTTTTAAAACACATATTACTTTTTGCCAGGTTATCTTTTTCATTTTCAATAATATTTTGGTGCTGTGAAAATGACAGGGTGATGAGTTCTTTCAGGTGCTGCTTTTTTTACTCACTTTTCCCCACAAAGAATGTTTCTCTTCTTGATCTAGATGCAAAAAAATACAAATAAGACAAAAACACAGGTAGCTAAAGAAAGTAATGCACAGGATCTATCTTTCATGGTGATGGAAGAAATAAGCATAGAAAGCTTAGTGTATGTTTTACAAAGTACACATGGCCATACTTTAGGGGTTGAAACTGCCAATCACTGAGATACAGTGAGAGAACCAAGATAAAAGTCATACTGGCTTTTAAAATCCTCTTTTATGAGTAAGTAAACAGATGTTTTTGAATGCTGAAATATGTATGGTCAAGTTCAGATGAGTGTACTTCACAAAAGCTTTCTAATAGCATAAACTCCCTAAATTGTTTTGCTAGTGTCGTGGATAGAGGGCTCAGGAGACAAAACAACTGTCATTGGTGACACAAAACCATTGCATTTCTACAGAAATTATCCTCCTTTTTCGCTGGCACGATAAATTATTTTGTCTAGCATCCAACTCAGGAATTAACCTCCCTTCAGTTGTAAGGTCAGGTATTAGCTGTAAGATTAAGCAGTTGTTAAATTCTAAGTAACAAAAGGGAAAGGGTGAGTAGAAGCTGGAGAGACATTATATAATGAATACTAATTATATGTTTTTTAGCAAAACTTTGGGTTAATTTCACAATTTTGTTACCGAGATTTCAGAGAGCCGACTTAAGTCTCAGGCAAGTGAAGCAGAGTAGTAAAAGGAATTGTCCTGTGGAAGTAGTTACAGATTTGTTGCAGACATTGATAGCAACAGGATGCCCATTGGAGGAGTCTGTTAGGAGAAGGAGTATATTTTATTCTTCCCTTATAGTTATTAAAACCAGTCAAGCTTCCAAATGTTCAAGCCTAACTTAAGGTGTGAAACGGAGTTACCTTCAAATATAAATATGCACTGAAAACAAATTTTTCAGGGCACAGTTCAAAGGGCACTTTCCTCCCCCAGTTGTTTTTGGACTGGATCATCTCACAGATCCAGGTCAGGGTGTACTGGAGCAAAGGCTCAAGTGGCCCTCAGAAAGGTGTGAAACAGTTGTAGCATTAAAAAGGTGGAAATGGATGCACAGAATTAGTGCTTTTCTTGGCAGCAACATCAGTTGATATTGGCAGAAAGCTTGTCCAACTACAGCTTTTCTGAAGAATGCATATATATTATTTGGTATTAGGGCATGAGAAAATTATCACATGAGAAAAATAAAACTCTTTCCTGAACCCCAGATACTGCTAATGCCTAGTGCATTTATTAATTTTATTTCCCAGGATCATTCATGATGATATTCAAGGTAAAGTGGTAGGTATTAAAATATTACTTAAAGATTTCAGTATATTGTGATATGTTATAAGCATGAGAATAAAACAATTGGAAGTTTTGTTGTGTACTATAATATCTTTATGTGCATCATCTTCCTGACAATCTACTATTGTCATTTTGTCAGCCACCACTCCACAAATTGTCTTTAAGACTGTTTAATTAACATTTTTAACCTTTTACAGTTAACATGCTAACATAAGAATTAACATACACAGCTCAAGTTACTGCTCTCAACCTGAAATAAAATACTATTATTTTTGCATCTGTTTGAAACCAAAAAGTGGGCCTGTGCATCCGAATTTTGCCTTTGTTAACTCTGGTTGTATCATTTGGTTTGCCATTAGGATTGTGGGGGGAAGTAACACAATACCTGTGTAATTCATACTTTTAAGCCATCCTGAATATAAAAGTGCTGTAGGAACTTTGTGCCTCTGCTAATTGGTGTCATTTTTTAAGTGAAAAACACAGGTAGTGTGAAAAGTTGAGCAGAAATTCATAGATTGAGTGTTACTCACGGAAGCAGCTAAGCTGGATGTGCATAGTGACAAAATCACAGTTTTTGCAATGTACCTAGATAAATTTATTTTCACATTATGTGAAATAGTTCAAAAATTGCCCCTTCATGTTAATTGATTCCTTATGGAAGCAGAGGCTCATTTGTATGTACTATCAGTATTTCAGCAGCTGAAATAAGTGCCTAACAACAATATTTTACCCTGACAGAATTACTTTTTTTCATTAGTCTTTAGCAGCATTGATTAAATCTCCCAAAAGACTGTTTAAAATACATAAGGGAAGGTTGGTTTCACAGAACCTATTCCAGAGGCTTCACAAGGATACAGCACTTGCACCGTGACTAAGAGCCACTTTGCATTATTTATTTTGTCTTCTTGTCTTTCTCTAAAATGGAGTATGTAAAGCTCTGTATTTTTATCATAAACACCAAGACAGTTGATTTGCAATTACAGCAAGCAGCGTTATAATTGCTTGCATTTGGAACTATCTCATTTTAACAGCCATTGCTCCATTGCTTGGTTGCTAAAGCTTGTGCTTGAAGGAGATCTTTTGTGTGTGGGAATATCTTAGGAACCCGGAAATCACTATTTGTCCTTGCAGGTGCAATACTCCATTTACTTTGTTGTAAAAGCAAAAAATGCCTTTAATTTTTCTGCCGTATTTGTGCTTATTTTTTCTGCAGTTTAAAAAGGTTTTTTTTTTTTTTAAATCTTCTTATTGGTTTTTCCATCCAGAGGACTGTATGTGGTTCAAAATAGTCATAGGAGTAAAAAAAAGCTCTCAAAATACAGTTCTTCTAATATATATGATATATATGATTCACATACTTACCACACATTATGTCTTTTTCCTTCTTTACAATTCTTTAGTCATGCACGAGCCTTTTTAATATATTCATGTTCCTGTATTATTTGTAAAACCTATTATTTATAAAATCTTCCACTGCTGCTTTGTTTCTAGCTATTCACAGCTATACATAATGTCACCCTGACTGAGGTAAATTAAAGACTTGCATGTGTCTAGAAAAAAAAATGGAGTTAAAGACAAAAAAAAAATCTTTTTTTTTTGCCCCTTAATCTTGGAAAGAAATGCTGAGGGGTAGAACTCTATTTTAAAGAATCAGTGTTGTCAACAAGGTATTATTTATTTCCAAAGCCATGCCAGATATTGTGAATGTTTCCTAGAGAAATGTATTCTTTACAGTAGGCTAAAATTTTTGACAGATTGGGCTAACCCATAAATTTAACTCAGGCTGCTGAGTTTTGAAGCAGGTGTTTAACCTATCCAGGGTTTTTTTTTTACAACTTAAAAGAACAAATTACTGTAAAACTACCTAGTCAAGCAGTTGATGTACAATGAATTGGAAAGGGCTTTTTTGTGTAGACAACTTGTCCAACTGTATATGTTGTAAAGTGGTATGCTAAGATACCAAGTTACTGTAGTTTCCATGAAAAAGTGTGACTAAGCATAAGAACCAAAAATTGAGGTGCATTTGCCTAGTGTGGTGTGGTTTTTTTCAGTCATTGCAGGATGCTCTGGGAGATTCGCAGTGCTGAGGGTTTCTGTGAGACAATGCCAAAGGAGATACAGCAGCTAAAGAGAAATAAAGGTGGGAGGAGGAATGCTTTTCTCTTAAGTACTTTTTATGCAAAAAATCACTTTTAAGTATTGAAGATCAATTTGTGTTCCTCTAACTTACTGTAACAGTGTAATTACACCTCTGTTTACTATTTTTTAAAGTGCTTTTACAGTACATTTTCTGGATTGATGTTACCAGTGACTTCTAGTTGGCCATAAGCATAAGCTCTCTGTACTATTACTTTCACTCTCTAATTATGACAGATGGTTTAGCTGCTAAGCAAGTATTGCTGTAATTTTTTTTTTTTCTTAATATGTTGTTAGACTAGAAATTCACCTGTGACAGCAGCTTTTATCTGTGTCTTTTACAACAAGGATGCCTGGCAGTGTGGTTACTGCTGACTTACCATGATGAGTGAACAGTAACTGATGTTTTTACAATCCATTCTCAGGTACCATACACAGACATGCCAGCGTTGACAAGAGGTGAAATTGTGTAATTTCAATTTTGACATCAGTGAGGATATAAAAATGATTTGTCATCTTAGTTCTCGGAGCTCAAAGCTGGAACTTCTGAAGTTGCTGAAAGCAGCTGAAGGTGCACTTGTTCATGGGACCTGATGAGGTGCATCCACAGGTCCTGAGGGAACTGGGTAATATTTCACCCTCCTGCAAATACATGACAAGAAACTGCAAACATTTCTTATGATATTTTGATTCATTAGTAACATTCCAGTTCCATCTAGCTAAGCTATTTTGTTTACACATGAGCCTGTCAGTTCCTCCAGTGACCTGTTCACTGATTTCTTCTCCAAACTTAGTTTTTCAGAATGTTTTTGTAATATGCTGGTGAAATATAGTATGTCATCTATCAGTGATCATTATAATGAAATATTAACTGTTTGAAATGTTGAAGTCTGCTGGTGCCTCTAGTTTGTATTCATTGTGCATCAACATTGTCCCCTTGTTTATGAGGTCAACAAAGAGCTAACGTCTGCCAAAGCACAGGCACTTTTTGTGTCAGAACTGGCTGCTTGGTCAGCAGTCAGGCATGCTGAAAGTGCAGTAATATTTAATCTTGGACTTTGTTATGTATTTTCTATGTAATTCAGGCTGTACTGACTCATTCACTGTTAATGTGAACTTAAAATGAAGTGACAGTGATGAGGACTCACATCATCTTCATTACAAGCACTAACAAGGTCACTCTGCTACAAAGTCTGGGGTCAAGTTTTACCAGTCAATGGAATAGGAGGAAATATTTTACTGATAAACTTCTCATGATGGGATAACCAGAAGGTTTATTTTTAGAGTGGCATTTTTAAAATGCTTGCAGCTACTGCCTTACCGTAGGTTGCTGAGTCAAAACAAAGTTTGTGCCAAGCTGCAGACTGCAAATGCTGAGTAATCACTATTTTTCCAGATGGAAATCTCAATTTTTTTACCACATCATTTGGCAGTGGACCTGCTTCTGTGACACATCCAAACATTTTAGTGGAACATAAGCTGGATGTTGATAGGGTGTAGGTTCCTAAGCTGGAATGTTCTGTGTGTGTGCTCTCCTTCTCCACCTAAAACTGGATGTCTTTTTAGAAACCAATAATGTTTGTTTGGTCCACTCTTAGGCACTGTGAGCGAATTTCCTGCTGTATCAGGTTTATGTGGCAAGGTTTTGGTTGTGGAGGCTGCAGGATAAGGTCCTGAAATAGCCAGCCCGTGTTAGGAAAATTTACATTTGCCCTCCTTACCTTTGAAATGATGAACTTGACTATCTCTGCATTCCTTTTGGCTCCTCTCAAGTCACGTAACTCCAAAATCCTTATTCAGGGCTTTTCTTGAACATTTTAAGAAATATTTTTCACCAGCTTAATGTTTGTTCCTGAGATTAAAAAAATCCTCTTAAATGGATGGAGAAACACACTCATATTGGGTGGACTTACTGTCATTTTTAATCCTCTGTGCCTCCAAACTTTATCAGATATTTGATGTATTTATCAAATACCTTGAACAATTTCTTTTGCTCAAAAGGTTATCTTCTTTTCATGTCTCATCTTCGTCTTGTTCTATGTCTTGAAGAGATGTGTGCAAAACCTTCTCTGAATAATTTGATAACTTCAGCAGCTTGTCACTGGGACCCAGCTCTCTCCTTTAAAATAGTTCATTTTATAAATGGCAATTCAATACATTTTATAAAAGGAAATCATTATCAACTAGACATGGGGATAGAAGTGGATTTTTTTTTCCTACTGCACATACTCAATTTCTTCACGGAATTTCATTTCACAGTTGGAAACTTGACTCCTGACTAGAGCTGTATGATACTGCCAATTTTTGCTTTGACTATTCAAGTGTAAAAATAGCTAACTTTGCAAGAATTCAGCATGTGTAATCCAGCTTAAGAGTGTCACGTTATTGTAGAGCAAGTGGTTCTTGTCTTTGAAAGTAACCAGGCTGAAGTAATGGAAGTGTGAAACAGAAAAATGTCATTTGCCTAAACATACTCAGGTTGAATCAATTGCTTGTCTTAATTAGAAATTAAGATTCTGAATGGTTAATTATTATTTAAAATTACACAAAACTGAGCAGATTGATACCCCGTTGTACTTATTTGTTTCCTACTGTTCTGGTAGCACAAAGCCCAGTTAAATCCAGGTAAATGTGTTCCCTTATGGCTCCTCAGAGCAGGGAGCAGGGCCTGGCTAGCTGGGACATGAATTTCTGCAGGGGATGATGCTTTTGTTTTAGATTGACAAGCACTTGACTGAGTACCTGTTGCTGAGTCTTGCTTGACACTGCTTGTAGAACTTCTTTTCAGACAGTTTTTCAGATAAATAGGCATCATGGCTGGAAATGTTCTTGAAGCTTCAGCTCTATGAGCGAGAATTCAGGGATAAGCTGTAGGAATATGGGCCAAATGCACAAAGTTCCTCCAAGAAACTCACTTCTCCCACAGCTTTTACTTACATGCATAATGTCACACGTCAACTTCTCATACAAAATTTTTATCAGCAATCACACTTTCTCCTAGATTATGTCTAAAGTGTGAGAATTGCACATGAAGGATGAGAACACTGAAACTTCTTGTCTCGAGACTAAGGGTGTGTGCCACAACTTCATCCCATTTCTGGGTTTTCTTTCCAAAAGTATTTCTGGGATTGCTGGGATTTCTTTCCAAAAGTTTCTTTCTTTCTTGGAAAATACTTGCAAGTCATATCACAAGAGCCAAAAGTTGTTCTGATACTTATTATTTTCCCTCAAATCTGAAGTCTCTTTATAGGCTTTCTTGGCAGATCCCTTGAGGCCTTTTAATCTGTGGATGTTTTACAGGATTGCCTTAAACCGCAATTCCGTTTCTTGAGTATTTCATGCATGGACAGTGGTTTGGAGAGAAAGTTGGAAGGAAGCAGAGGGCTGGTGCTGGGAGCAAATACATCAAGAAAGGACATTTGGGAAAAGGTAGATGACCAGTGAAAAAAGATATAGAGGATTTGATGACATATCCATGAGATAAAGCATCAGCTTTGTGTTCTGTGCTACCATTCCATCATGGATTCAGCAAGGCTCTTTGGGGTACAAGTGCATGACACTGGATTATGCTCCAGTATGTGTTGGAGTGCATCCCAAGCTGGGATTGGCTTTACAAGTGAGCCCATGTTTTCATCTGATGCGTCTGATTTGGTGTCTTGATAAAAGGAAGGCAGTAACACATCATTCTGTACTCACAGTTTCCAAAGGGCATGTGAATGTTATAAGGAAATATCTGTTAAATCTCTTGGAATTAGAAGTGACAATATAATAAACACTTTCAGTTTGTATTTACTGTGCCTTGTGTGATGTTTATTCTTTTACCTCCTACTGAGACTATTATATTTGTTGAGAGGATACATATGTTTTCACATCTGTCATTCTCCTCTTTCAGTAAAACATTCAAGCAGCAAATTGTTGTCCTGGATGTTGTGCAGAAGCATACTGGTGTTGGTGATGTGATATATCATATATCATACATGTCCACATCATAGATGTGGTGATGACAATTTGTACTTAAGATAGTTTTAGTTCTTAATTACTGGGTTTTTTTTTTTTGACAGAATATTTTTGTGCAAGTCCTTGTTCTCTTGAAATATCTGTTAACTGTTCTTAACAACCCTAACATTCTCTTCTTTCTGCCTCCCTAATTTACTTTATGAATTTTGTGAAGGCATTTTATGAAAATTTAGCTTTTTTTTCCAGAAGTTGTAGCCAAGATTGCACAAGTGTTCTTTGACAGCTAGGCCTGGCTTCAAATCAGCTGATCACCAAAGAAGATTACATAGCCTTGTTCATTAAAGGAGATTTTAAATTACTTGCTCTGGAATCCCACAGTCCCACAGCCTTAGGAGACTTTGAGAATCATATTCATTCCACATAAAGCTAAAATATGGGTAATTTTCCAATTTATGCTTGAATTTATGGCAAGCAAAGAAAGATGAGTTGTGGAGACAAAGTCCAAATCTGAATATAATTTGTGATTTAGATCTGAAGGGTCAGGAGTAGGTCCTGTCTATACTGATTTATTCTCATTGATTGACACGAAGAATGATCCTACTGTTTTTCTTGGTCTTGTGCCTGTAGCTATGTTGTGTTTGGAAGAAACTCCTTTCAAAATCAGTGTCACAGAGATTATCCAGCATTTGTCCACAGGAATTCTACAGAAAACGCACGTGCAGGGGGGTTATGCTGCTGTTTAGTGCCTCTCCTAATATGTATTAGTCCTTCCTGTAACTAAAACCTGCCCTCAACAGTGTATTTTAGTGATTATCTTTTATGCAGAAATTGTAAATAAATACATTTAAAAATTCCATGGCAGTTTCTCTAAACAGTCTGTCAGGGCTGCTGGCTCTTTCTGTTTGTGTACAGACATTTTATAACCTCCTTAATTTGGCTGAGGAGACTAAAATGATAGGTAATCAGAAGAAAGTTAATTTTTCTTGTTTCTAGTAATTGAATCTGCTTCTAGTGAAGGAGGAAAAGTCAACCTTTTATCTGAGTGCATATAAAGAGAGATCTTACATTGTATTTGGTATGATGGGCTTATGAGGAGTTTTTTTTTGATGGTCATGATAGTCTGATAGCAAAACTATATTCTGGTTATTCAGTGTAAGAGCTTAACTTTAGGACTTCCAAAGGGACAGGGAATTAGTGGGATAATATTGACATGAGACTTGTGCTTACCACAAGTTCTGCTGTGCATGACCTGAGCTGTCATTACAGAGGTACACAAAATTAAGGAAGACATAAGTAACAAATAAAAAATGTTTTTCTTGACATGGAATATTTTGTTTTTGTAATATTTTTGTCTCAGAACATTGAAATATTTTGTCTCAACATACAGGAAAATGTGATGACTACTGAAAAGTGTAAAGTCCTTATGCAATGTTGTATAAAGAGTTAGAGCTCAAAGAACTACTTAAATCTTGCAAGTACCACAAACTTTCAAAATAACAATTTTGCATTGATTTAATTTGGACCAGGATTGTTCTGAAATTTGACTATCAGTCAATTCAAAAGTCTATATATTCTCCTTGGTGGTTTCAGGACGATATATGAGACTACTTTAATTTGAGCCCTGGAAATTATATCCTTTATTTACTGACTGATATAGTGGAATAAACCTGATCAAATGAGGAATAATCTGTATTTTTTTTTTTCCTGATCTTGCAGTCACTGGAAGCTGGTCACTGTTTGGCTGTAACTGCAGTTTTAATTTTTTTACTGCTCTTTTACTGAGTTTGCTCCAAGCCTTGGGTTTTTTGTGTAGGTCAGGAATCTGTGTCTCTGCTGCAGAATGCATTTTTCCCTTATTCCATGGCAAAAGGAGTGGGTTGGTTTCCTGCTTCTGATCCTGGCGTGGAGCCTATCTCACTTGGCTTCAGCCTCAGTACAGTGTTAGTAGTTGTCCACATCTGCCTGGAGTGGTTAGGGGCACGGGAATGTTATGAAAAATTCCGAAAGATAGATCAGGAAGCATGAGAAAGCAGAAGGAACATCTTATATTCATGTGTGAAGGAGTGATAAATTAGGTGCTGTTGGGTGTGTATATAGACGTAGATAGACACTGTATATATACACAGTGTTTGGGTACAGCCATAAAAACATAAGCAGCTAGGAAAGCAACTTGGATATTTCCTGTCAGAATCTTTCTTTGTGTGAAGGCATTCCTTAGCTGAAACTGAAACTGGAGAAATTCCCTGGGAAAATGTTTTAAACATCTCACCCAGACTTTCCCACTGGTACTTTATATTATTTGCAATGAAATTGTGCATCAATGTTTTAGAGAGAAGTGAATCTGAGCATCAGTGACTTTATGGCCTCTGCCCTCTTCTTACCTTTATAGGGAAGAAATGAAAGATGAATGTTGCATGACAGGATCTCCTGTAGTTTGGCTGAGTTCTGTTTTCCTTCAAGATTACTTATTTTTAAGGCCTGTAAAAATGTCTCTGCTTCACAGCCGTGACAACCAGAGGAGAACAGACTTCCACCAGGACCTTCAGCGCCTCCAGGCCAAGTACAAATATCCTGTGGGCCATCCCATGGCAGCTTAGGTCAGAGCATTTTGAGATCTGTTCTTCCCTGAGAAGTAGAAATACATGTATTAACAACATCAGGACCCTCAGTTTAGTTTTTGTTTGTTTGGAGTTTTGTTGTGCTGGTTGTTTTTGTTTATATGTTAGGTTTTGTGTCTTGTGTTTTTTAATCAAACACCAAAAACTGTAAGGATTGTGCAAATAGTTTAAAGAGGAACATCCTATTCAATGGTATATTGTCTTTTAAAAATATATGTGGTTTTGCCTTTCCACAAAAGATGGATTGTGTGATTATTTTGTCTGCAAAATGCTTGTATCTTATTTTCATATCCCTGAAAAGATGTGAGGGTTCATTTCATTATGAGTTTGAATTGCTACTCATTCTACACAAGAGAAGTTGTTAACGTGTGTTACCTTTAGTCAGCTCTGTTTTCAGTAGGTTTTGCAGCTATACCAACTGCAAATAGAAATAGAGGCATAGAATAATATATATTATGTTTATAATTTTCTTTGTACCTAGCGAAATTCTGTGTGTTTCTTCCCTTTCCTAGGCTATATGTTGATTTGGAGGACCAACAGAAAAGATGAGGTCTGTACATGGAGCTCTTTTCTCAAGTCAGGTTCTCACAGAGATGGAAGAATGCAGTTTGTGAGGTTGGCCTTTGCATAGTAATGTCTTTTAGCATGTGAAGGAATTGGTCTGTGGTCTGTGCAGCACCAGCTGAAAACCTCAGCTCCTGTCACCATCAGCTGGAGCAGGGAATACAAATTAGCTTTCTGAGAGGCAAAGGGGGAAGTGAGGAAGGAGTGAGGTGAATGTTAAAAAACATGAATAGTAGGCGTCAGCTACCCGTGTTGGACTGGAACTAGTTAGGAGATGCTGTCACAGAAGGGATGCTGGAAAGTAGGTGATCATAATGAGGAAATGGGTGAGGTGATCTCCCTCAGCTGCTGCTGTGGAGAAAATCCATGCTGAAGGACCTCTGAAGGTCACCAATCCATCAAGACCCAACTAGCTTAGAAGTGGTGCTGACATTTCTATTGTGTGCGCAAATGTTGAAAATGTCAATTACTACAATGAGCACTGCAATTTACTTGTGCAAACTGATAAAACACAATAGGGAATATCCAGTTAATATAATGGCTTCATTCAGCCATCTAATATAAAGAAGTCCTTCCACTCGAGATAGTAGTTGGATTAGGCACTTTCTCATACAGTGACAAAACAATAATATTAAGTGCTGTAAGAAAGGCTTTCTTAGGTGAAATGAAATTTAAATCGTAGTATTTGTAGGTTTCCTTTAAATATTTTAGTGCCTAGTAAATATTCCAGCAACAATGTTGATGAATTTTAACAGTGTCTTGCTGGTACTACTCATGCTAATTTGCAAGATTTACTGCAATTACCATTCCTGAAAGCTAAAAAATGGTGAGTTATTTCATGAACACATAGAACAAGACCTTTGAAAACATTTAACAGGACTCTTAAAATGAAATATTTGGCTCAGATATAATTTGGGATGGATAAAAAATTAAAGTGTACTGTCATTCCTGACATTCATAAAAATAAATTATTGTGCATTGTTTCCTTCTTTGGATTTCTGAATACAGATCAGTATGAGAGAAATTAGATACTGTCATTCTCTTCTTCCTGTGGGTGTTGAGAGTTTGCTCTGTGCACATCCAAGTAACCAACTAACCCTGGAACCCAAGAAACCTCTTTCATAAGTTTATGTTTGGAAAATCAGGAAGATTAGTCTCTTAAGACTGGAACTTTTTGTATTACAAAATTTAATTAATTTTTTATTTATTTTTTCCATACATTCCTTAGGCTATTTAATCTGCAGATATTCCAGCAGTATCATATATGTAGGGACTTTTAAAGGGGAGTCAGAGGGATAGCACATGAGGAGTTAATGGTGTCTCAGTTCAGACTTAAAAACTAGTTAGTAGTGAAATCAGTGACAGAAAAATCTGTTGATTACTGAGAAAGGTCCTACTTACCACCAACATTTGTCTAGAAGTTCCTTTAGAGGATTTAAGTTAAAAGAATTTGTGTGTGCACTTCCCTCCCTCTGATGCTCATTCTCCTGTTGAGAATGACACCATACATGTCTTTTCACATCATATGGTACTGAGTAAATACTGCTTTTTTCCCATCTCACTTAGGGATCTTATACTGACCACAGTAAGACTCTAATTCATAATATTTTTCTTTAATTGTAAATCTATGTTTTTGACTTTGGTATTAA